CTGACTGAGTCAGCGTCAAAAAGAAGCTACATATTAAAAAAAAAAAAAAAAGTCAATCTCCATCAGACTTATACTTTGTATAAACTTAATGCGAGATCATCCTGGCGTGGATGTGTGCCATGCAACTCTATAGAATTATTATAAGTGATGTGGAGTGCGTGTGGAATATGCTGAAGCAGAAATAACACACGTCTGTGTGTGGGAGGCCCCGATCGCCTACAACAAACATCACTCCTGTAAGACAAAGATGTAGTCATGTAAATGTCTAGTGATGGAACTCATTGTTTCACACTTTAGGAGAAAAGCAGATTGAAGCCTCCTCCTACTTACTGTTCCTTCACTGAGTCACTCCGTCAGGTTTCAGATTAAGGTGATCTAGTTAAGATTCCCACTGTGACATCTGGAACTCCTGTCAAAGCTCCTTGAGCACTGAAAGTCCAGTATGCAGTGAGGATGACTGACACTCACTACCATGTCTCATTCTCCTCAGAGACTCTAAGCAGTCAATAATTCATCAGGAAGGTATACTCTTATGCATGGGTGCAAGGTACAGCATGGAGTGGAAACTTTCTCCCTCTTCCCACCCTCAGTTTGTCATTTCTTTCTCAACCTACAGTCCCTTCCCCATCCCTTCCTTGTTCTCCCTCCTTCACTCTCCCCCACACCTTGCTGTCTCAATTTATATTGCACCACTTCAATAATTCAAAGTGATATATAAAAGTCAATGAAATTTGCCATACCTCGGGTCATTACGATGCCTGCCAGGGATTTGTGCCGAGCGTGCACAGGACTGCAGCCGCCCACCAGCGACCGGTACTTCTCCCTCACCAAGTGGAATATTGAATCAGCAAAGTCCTGAAAAACACAATCGCTCCCTTAATTTCTACTGGACACAATCTGTGGAGACCGACTACCTGGGTTTAAATTTGCTGCACTTGGTTAACCTGTTCAGGTAAACAGAGTGAGGTTTAGGGAGATTATCCTAAAAGCCAACTTACCTGTTTGGCTATGAGTGCATAGAGATCATCGAAATGCTCGAGGCATCGGTATAAAAAAAGATTTCCAACAGTAGCACACAGCAACTTGATTATTATTGAAAGGTGTGTGTTTTAGATCTTAGATGATGCATTTAATCTGTACATCCTCATCTGGTTGTTAAAGAGACACAACATGCACATTTTGTTAAGCTCTTCCCTACTTAACCTTCCCGCTTTCATTGAGTAGCCGTTAACCTTAACAGCAGAAGAGTTGGCTATATGCTGTCATTTACTCATTATCGTTTCTGCCAGCATATCCCAAAATAAAAGCCACTTGTCCCAGACGCCATTGTTTCCTGTCTGACTTCACTGGAGTGCACGATCGTGCTGGACACCATTTTTCAGTTCTCATTTCCTCCACCATCTGCCATTTGGAGCGCCTCTAAAGACTTGCTGTTTTTGCTTCTCGGTCTGACCGACATTACACATGCTGATTTACTGGAGATAAAATGCAAAGTATGAAATGAAACTGTGCTCTCTACGTACATTTACCCCTCCACCTCCGACTCAACACTTCTCACCAGACATCCACTAAATCCACACTGTTCACCAGATGTTTGCCGAGACATGGGCACGGTTTTCGCACCCTTTGGAATTTTTAATGCTCTTTACTCGAGTAGTAATTAAGGGCTTAGTCTCCAAGCAGTCTCCATGCCAACTGTAGAGCGCAAACGGATCACTGGGAGATGGCAACAGAGTGGCAGTGGAGTGGGCCTTTCGGACAGATTGAAGCCCGCAGTGGCTAAAAGGACATCAACAGATGCCACAGTAACAGACGTACAGAGTGAGAGAGGAGCGGAGAGATTAAGGGCAAACAGAAAAAAAAAGGCGAGGAGAGCAAATGAATGAGCATATTGCACATTATAGCCCTCGTCAAGGCTGTGAAATACTCTCACAGTAGGAACTGGCGGTGGAGGTGCTCACAGCTTGTGTTGCGGTGGGTGGCGTGTGGGTGTGTATGTATGGCATATTGGTGCTTTGACACCGGTGTCAGCCTGAAGCTTTTTCGGCGAGTAGAACAGGAAGGAGCAGTGAAAAGTCATCATGGTCAATAACTTAGCACTGAGGTTCTCAGCTAACGGTTGGGTGACAAGTCAAAACTGAGGTGAGTCTCCTTATTTTTAACAACAGGCAACAAAGACAAGAAGAAAAGGCACATTTCCTCTACCGCTATTTACTTGATGCTTGGCTAACACTTCACTGTTACTCGGCATTGCTGCCAGTTTTCGGTTTTACGGTCAGCGGCAATGATCAGTAAACATCCTCATTTCAGATTCAGCTCTGAAATATAGTTATTAGGCATATTTTGCTTTGTCATGCCAAAAGACATTTTAAAGCCAAGAAACTCTTCACGAGACAGCCCAAAGCCAAATAAACAGTTTGGGACATGGCCTATGACAATAATGTTTTACATGTGTCAGAAGTGAATAAACAAGTATACAAAAATGCCTCTTTTTTCAATTCAAGACAGTTTTAAAGGAGCAGTAAGTAGAATATGTGGGGTGGCTGTAGGTAAGGAGGTACAGCCACTAATCCAAAAGGTTGGTGCTTGGATCCCTGGCTGCTCCTGCATGTATCCTAAGTATCCTTAGGCAAGATACTAACCCCAAATTGGTCTCTGATGCATTCATTGGAGTATGAACACATGTGTATGTTAGATAAAAGACACTTGAATAAGACATGCTGTATAAAGAGCTTTGAGTGCTCAAGTAGAGTAGAAAAGTGCCAGTGCATTTACAATTTATCTTATATTACTCTAGACAGTCTGCACTGCCAATTATTGCACACAGTCAACCCTCATGATGATCTACTGGAACAACTGCACAACATTTTGGACTGTGCCTCCAGTCTAAAAGAAAACTGGCATCTTCTGGACTCCATCATGGCCGTTTGCCAAGAGTTTCAGCCAGCACAACTACTTGGTTTACAACACGAGCAGCAGAAGGTCAGAATTATAGAGTCGTTAAAAAAGAAGAATAACATCTCTGGCCTTTCTTTCATGTTGGGCAAACACATAGCAAGGGTAGCATCCACAGTCTGATAGATATCCAACCATTTTATGTTGCTTATCCGGGTCTGATCTACAGGGCAGCCCTTCTTCTCCACAGCCACCCACCCCAGCTGATGAGGGGACACCAAGCCATTCCCAAGTCAGCTGAGAGATGTAATCCCTCCAGTGTGTCCTGGGTTTGCATGTCCTCCTCCATTAGCACATGCTGGAAACACCTCATCTAGGAGGCATCCTACCCAGATACTTGAACCACCTCAGCTGGCTCCTGATGTGGAGGAGTAGTGGCTCTAGTCTGGGATCTTAGGCTGCAATTCAGATTTTTTGATCAAATCCGATTTTTTTGTCTGCTTGTTCAGACTACAAATAATAAAATGTGACAGCAAACGCGCTCTAGTGTGAACCCGCATGCACAAAAGAAGACGTCACACACAACGCTCTCTGTTTTGACACAGACCAAACAGAATTGTTTGACTGATGGACCTTAATATAAAGACTTGTTTCGGACTTTACGTTTCCCAATTTTGCTTTAAGTTATAAAGTCATTTTGTTATTTACATTTGGCCTAATAATGATCCTTATTGCTGTTTTAGAGGAGCGGTGCTTCAAAGGATAGTTACAGATTTCTGTCAGAATCTGCAGATTATACAGTACAAATAAAATGTTTATGTTTCTCCAACGTTGTCTTCCCAACAGTTTCACTAACATCTACACTGGATGGCCAGGAAGCGTTCACGATGTCTTATCGGGCGCTGATAATTGGCGTCTGTTTTGTGTAGGTGACGTAAAAGATGGATTTAATGCGACATGACCATTCAAACAGCAGTCGCTTTCTAAAACATCGAATATGTATCGGATTCAGTACCACATACAAAAGTGTCCCAGGTTGGATTTGAAAATATCGGATTTGTGCCGTTCACACTGTCATACCATGATCGGATATGGGTCGCATAGGGTCAAAAAAGTCGGATTTGGTGTGCTTTCGCCTGCAGTGTGAACGTAGCCTTATTCTTGAGGTCACTATCCAGAGCCTGCGGCCATAAATAACAGGAATACAGACTGACCAGAACAACCAACTTCAGTCGATCTCTCTACAACAGCGCTCCCCAACCACGAGAGTTGAGGCTCGGGGGTGAAATTTATGGTTTTCAGGGTTTTTATCGGTTTTTATCGTTATTTTCTTTTATTGTTTTTATCGTCAACTCGGTTTCCCTGGGTCTTTTCCCGTGTGTTATGAATAAATCTTCTTTTTTTTTTATACCGGTACTGGTTTTATTTTGTTGGATTTATCCGTGACTCATTAAAAGCCGGTTCGTGAAAATATTGTCAGACACAAACCGGTCCGTGGCGCAAAAAAGGTTGAGGACAGCTGCTCTACATCACAGCATAAAGCTATAGAGGAGATTTCTTCACTTTCTTCATTTTATCAGTCGCTTCAGATCATTTTTCAAGGTCTTAAACAGACACATTTACTGTAAGTAGCTTTAATCCACTTTTAAACTAACAGTCTGCACCTTTAATAATGCACCTTTAATACGCACAGCCCTACTCAGTGACCTGCAGCATGTGTGGAATAACAGTAATTAGTTTCCCTGTTAAAAAAATCCAACCTTTTGTGCTGTTGTTAATAGGAAACAGCTGATACTCACTAATGTCAGCACAGCAGATGGACACTCAGTCTTTTTCTTTCACTTTATCGTTAATATGAATAACTATAACCATATAGTTACATAGTTACGAATATCTACAATTATAACTATATTAACTGTACAATAATATTAACAGCTGTTGCTGTAAAACCATCAAAGTTTACAAAGGAGGGATGAATGAATGACTTCATTAAAACCTGTTAGATGTTACGCGGTGACAGTGAAATTCTGTTTTTAGTTTACTCTTCCACCACTTTTGCAAAAGACATAATAATGTGTAACAACTAACAAAGACATAATTTGTGTAAATTTATCAATCGCCTGTAAAGATAATCGCACCTACGAGCGTTATTTGGGAGTGCTGCTAACAAGCTATTTTGTCCTGTTTAGTAAATCTGACACTGACAGTCTAAATGTGATACCTGTAACGGGTGGAACACCTGTTGTGTAGTGAATGACCTGCAGAGGGTGTAAAATAAAAAGCATAAATCTCACATGTCAGAATAACAAGTTTCTACAGCAATAAAGAAATAAAGAACAACCTGGTAACAATGTGTTGGTTTGTTTTTTTTAATAATATGCTTGAAAAATGAACTAAACATATAATTTCATGTGAACACAGTCATTTGCTTTGCCTTGTATAAAATGTCCAGTAAGACTTTGTGGATGTTGTCCTTTAAAAAACACAAAGTTAGAGCAAAGTGTGGATATTTGTTATTCATTAAATGTTCAGTAAAACCAACAAAAATATAAATCACATAGATTTTTGCCAAAAGGAAATTTAATGATAATTTTGTAATATTTGGCAACATTTCTGTCAATTTATTCTGAGTATATAATTAAAATTCCACAGTTAAAATAATCCCTACTATGTTGAAGATTACCAAGAGAAAACCGTCCTCGCTCTGCCACGAGTCCTGCAAAATGTTCTGATTCTACACGCAGTAACAAAACCTGTGGGGGAAAAAACACTGCCTTGGTTCTTGCTCCTGAAAGTGACATCCAATTAATTTGAACAGAATCCTGCTTGGCTTGGCAGCGTCAGCTGGTGTCGGGCACATTCTGAACCCAGAGTCAAGTCCTCCATCCCTCCTAAAGGCCTTTTCATTGATGACATTACAGAGGTGAGAGAACGTGGCAGCTCGGAAAGGCCCGGAGAGC